TGGCTAATTTCATGACCTTGGTTATTATGAACTGGCAGGTAGCCACTTGACTACTTTTCTAAGGTTTGAATGAATGATACATTACAAAGATTTTTGTTAAACCATGCAACTTTATAGCAAGGAAACATCTTACTTGTAAATACTGTAATTTGACTGGAAACAATAATCAATTTATAATTTATAATAATATATATTTATTTGGATTATTTAAGAACAAAAGTGAACTTTAATATGACCTCTCATAAAAATTGTTGATGAATTCATAAAAAAAATCTATTCACAACATTATTCATTTTGCAAAAGAATGTTCTCATCTTTAGCTACCAAGGAAAATTAAAATACCTTTTCAGGACAAAATCATTGTCTATAAAAGCCATATTCTATCATATCTGGTCTATTATAACGTAATTTTGGGTAATACCTCTAATTCAAACATGACAACACTTTCAAGGCTCAAAAAAAATTGTTCCATTTAATTATAGGTCAAATGTATAGACAATTGCCAGGACACAATGAATAATATAAAATACTAATACAGGTAAGGATATTACTTAGAAAGACCAAATGTAAATACACCTAAAAGCCTGTCCTGTGTACTGTCTATATCAACAAAGAGATGCTAATCCAAAGTAAAAAAAAACATAGAGAACTGTCTTAAGACAATTTTCTATATACCAGTCCACTTGATATTAAGTACATTCCCAGTAAAATAAAGCAGATAACTGATGTCTCATGAAATCTTAAGACAGTACAACAGTTCTAGTGATGTACGTACCTATTGCTTTTCTCTGTTTATGCATCTTTTTCACAGCTGAATTTTTCAATTCAGGATGATTTTATATATTTTATATATGTTATGTTCACAGATACTTGTGCATATGCATAAGGCATGAAATTCTGATTTTCAAAATCACTTAATTTTTTGGGGGGTCAAGCCAAAGTTTTTTATGGTGGTGTTTTGTTCTTTATGTGTATTGTACATAAAGTCTAGAAAGTGTCAAGGTAGATTAGTTTTGTAACTTAGTCACTTTCTCCATCAACAATCATATGTACTAGTATGGATGAACAATTGTGGGGGAAAAAAATTATTTGCAGTGCTTTAATACAAGCAGTGAGTCACAGTGATCTAAATTACAGAACCATGCATTATTCTTCCCTCCCCCATACTAACATGTAAACACTTCCCTCTTTGTACTCAAAACAAAATTATACTCTCCATCATTTCTGCTACATAACTAGTGCCACAGCATCTTTTTTTTTCACCAGCAGACTTGAAAAAGCTGGTAGCTACATGTACAGGGTTCCTCCACTTCCAAAACTAAAGTTTAAGGAGTTGCCATTTTTGAACTGCTGGGCTATAACACTGTGCAAGCCAGGTAACTCCTGTTGGACAAGATATTATTAAATAGGACTATCTTTTTACAGGACTTCTCAGGACCAGTAGACAAGTCTACGTTTTGAGCCCTGCTGATGGGTGGGTGGGAGGAAATGTGGTTGTTATGCTATAAAACTGTAGTATAATGTGCAGAGGGGGCCTTTTGGAGGGGGTGCTTCTCAGTTGTTCTAACTGTAGCAGCAGATGGCTCATCATGTGCTTGGAACAGCTACTCTGGAGCTGGGGGGGGGGACAGATATAATTCAGGCATGATACATGGAAATACATGATTAGCTGCCAGTTTGCAAACATTTTGCAACATGGATTAATCAATTTGAGCACATTGGTTCATAATCTCTTTAGCATTTATAATTCTCATTCTCGCATTATCTATTACAAAAACAAGAAACATAAAACAGAAAACTTTGGAAACATCATCTGCAATCCTTCTCCAGTATGCAGCACTCATATGATCTGCACATCCAAGGCACAGAACATTTCTCTAGTTTGCAGCACTCTCATGATTTGCAAATCCATGGCACAGAACATTTATATAGTTTGCAGCACTCATGATTTTTACATCCATGGCACAGAACATTTCTCTAGTTTGCGCAACTCCAATTATTTGCATGGCCATTGCACATTTCTCTATATGCATCACTCCAATGATTTGCATGGAAAATTCAGGGTTCCTGCAGACTTAATAAAAACAAATTCCATGACTTTTCCAAAACTTTTCCAGGGCAATTTCATAAAACTCAAGGACCACACTATCTTGCATTGTCAATTAAATGAGCATAAAGAATGACATCTTTCAATCTAAAATAATAAGTTAACAAATATTTTTAATATGTACATTTTAAATTTAAATGGGTTAGCACACTTTGACTTTATGTTGTAATTCATGTCATAATCCAATGATCAATGTAATCTTTGTATGTGTTCCTATTTACAATATTAACAAAACACATTACTTTCCAGTTGCTTTCTTTTATTTCGTGAACTACACCGGAAATCATGTGATACTTCCATTAAGGGAACTTACTCTTGTTATATGAATTGAAACCATTCATCGATTGTAATTTTACCATTTTATTTAATTGGTTCAAGGTTCTCTATGAAATTTGTAGTAATTAATTTCTTTAACTCCATTGTCACAAATTCCATGACTTTTCCAAAACTTTGCAAGGTTTTGACAAATTCCATAGCTTTTCAAGGCCCTTGAAATTTATTTTTTAAATTCCAAAACTTTTTCAGGATTCTATAACCTGCAGGAACCCTGAAAATTGCACATTTCTCTATATGCATCACTCCAATGATTTGCATGGAAAATTGCACATTTCTCTAGTATGCATCAATGAAACAGTCTGCACAGTCATAGCATAGAACATTTCTGAGCATGCATCACTCAAAAGATTTGCAGTCATGACATAAATAGAATATGATTCTAAGTAATGACATATGCAACAATGGATAAGTCAGAAATGCCAAAAAACAATATTTGACCTGCAGCATTCTCAGTTTCTAAAGATAATTCGCAAAAAATAATTTCAAAATCTTGCACTCAAACAGTACTTTACACAGCGAAATATCTGTATAGTAAAAGTCAAAAAAGCACATATCTAACCAGCTGGGAACCACCTGAACAGACAAGAAGGTTCTACAAATGAAGGTCTTTTATATATTAGATGCTGAATCTGTTAAGATACCATGATTTTGACCCATGGTCCCAAACACCTTGATTTACTGTTGATGTAACCACAAAAATTTGTATATACTCTGCAGGTGGTCTTAGTCATCTGGGCTAATGTATACAGTAGCTCTTCATAACAATATTGCTAAAGAATCTAGGACCATTGCCAATCAACAAATAATGTAACCTTCCACACCTGGCACTCCATTATATTATACACAATATTATCAAGAACCAATATATACCAATATAAATATATATCTCTCTCTCTCCCTCCCTCCCTCTCCTCTGATTTTCTTGGATTTGATTTGGCACTTTACATATTATGTTAGACTATATATGGTGGCCAGTGTAGTGGTAGTGGAAGAACCACTAGCCCACTAATTGACACTATTATTATCATTATTATACTGGCAATTTGATATTTAAAAGCAACTGAATTCACTCCAATGTAGCTGTATCATCAGTCCTTTTGTTCTTTTTTAATCTGGGTGTCTCTTGTAGAAAATTATAAATTTTTACAAATCTTAGTAATGTCTTCCAAAACTAAAAGTTTAAGTGGAAATGAAATTAGGTACATGTATATAGGCTTTAATGCATCCTGCATAATTTTATACTCCAGTGGTAATTCATGTACTAGACTCCTAAAATGGCTTGTGTAATGAACATACAACAGTGATTAGTCTAGACAAAAATTGCTACTGATTTACTTGACAATCTTGTGTTATGAATACCATGTGAAAAATTTTTTCATTAGCATTCTGATTTGTTACACTGAATGAACAAAACAATACTGTATTATTTTTAGTACAACTGTTGTATTACATAGATTACTGCAGTGACATCACTATCCAAATGTCAGTGTTCACATTACATAGTTTACTGGAGTGAAAAACCAATTCATCATTTAACCACTATCAGTACTATCATAGTACCCAAAGACTACTAAACTTTTAGTACAACACAAATACTGGGATGCATGTTGTAAAGCAAATGAACAAATATCACTACAATGGAGTACAGAAAATTAAAAAAAAAAAAACAGAAAACAAATGTAACAAAATGTCACAAACTGTTTCTATTTAGTATTTCAGAAACGTAATGCTAATGTAATGGCTGATTCAGCAATATGTTATAATAAGTGCGTGCAAATAATTTAAAAGTTCCTGTTCTCTATTCCTTAAATATGAAGTTAATCTTATTTTTTCTTAATTTAAAAAACATAGGAAAACAACTGCCTCCATTCATTCTAGAGTCAAGAATTCCACTCCAGAATTTGTTGATCACCATGTTTCTTTCCAGATCTGTACTGTGCACTGAAAGCATATTAATTACCAACCTCCAGGCTCACAACGAGTGAAAACAAGGATAAAAATTTGTGAATTTTTTACATGGATTCATGAAGCAATTTTCAAGTCGGGGAATGTTTGTCAGAACAAATGTTTAGCATGGTGAATACAATTGCAATATCAATGCCAAATGGTAATTCAAATAAGTGTTGGAAGCACATGCAAAATTCCTGTTATGTCCCCATTTTTCTAAAATGCATTTATAAAACTATTATACATATAGACAAAAATAAGATAAAATGTTTACTACCAAACCAACTGTATCAAACGGTTCTAGTTTTACTAATATATCGAAAATCAATACCAGACTGTTTAAGCAACTGCCAATATCATGACTTGCACTTAACGGGAAATTGATTATTTTATTATAGATATAAAAAAAAAATGAAAATGGGAGAATTTGTGATTTTTTGCATGAGAGCCTGAATCCATGAAATGCTGAAAAAGTCATGAAATTCATGCCATAATGTGACGGTTGACAGTAATGTTAGTAGAGTTGAGACAACAAACCAGTCTACCCCTCTGGGCGAACATAGCAAATATAAAAGAGTTACCATCTGTGTATCATAAAAAAAATTACAACCACTCTGGTGGCCTAGTGGTTAGAGCTTCCGCCTCGGATTCGGGAGGTCATGGGTTTGATCCCCAGTTGAGTCATACCAAAGACTTACAAAAAGGTACTAACAGCTGCCTTGCTTGACATTCAGCATGACCGTTCAGCATTAAGAGGTTAGTGTTAGAACTGGTCAGCCTGGTGTCAAAATAATGTGACTGGGTGGGACATCATGCTACATGTCTGTGGCATAATGCCCCAGTACTAGACATCACTATAAACTGCCACACTGCAGACATCATAGCAATATGACTGAAACATTGTTAAAGCTACGTTAAAAATTATAAACACCAACACCATAAAAATTACACAAACATGAGCTGTATTTGATTGAGATTTCATTGCTATTATTTAGAAATCTGTAGAAATTGAGTAACACCAATACAGAACAGCAAATACAGTTAATAGACTTGAGAGTAGAGCCAAGATTCAATGTAAAAATGTATATTATATTATCATGCTGAGGTTTCATATTTTACATTTGAAATTAATACTTGATTCAAATAATTTTGAGTGAATGGGATCAATAAGATATATTACAAGAATCAAATCATAAGAACCATGTCCTTTATCAGGACTTGGAAAAAATATAGCATTTTCCTGCTTGTATAAAACTATGTTAAATCCAACTTTTTCCTTCATATGTTTCATGCAATATTTTTAGCAACAGATCTTATTTCCCTTCTTTATTAATAATACTCAATAAAAAACGGCACAAAGTTACTATTGCAGGTGTAGGGTGTTACTAAAGTGTAATTCAGTGTAATTCAGTGCAATGTATGCTAACAGAATTCTGGCAGTTATTTTTTTTATAACACTCAATAAGTGTAAACCAACTTGAAAATCAAAGATATACTCAATGGCTAATTTATGAATTATGTTGCATATTTTGTTTTCACTAATGGAGAGAGCAAGTCTATCAGTACAAAATGACCAAAATTAAAACCTCTGCACATAACCTGACTCTACCTGTCACACACAGATATCACATGGTATAGCAAGGTTAGTTTGTGGCATTAAGGGCACTTTATCACATTACTGACTGCGAAAAAGTGGAGTTTTTGAATGTTTTTTCCACAAAAAAAACCAAGGCAGCTGACCAGGGCTGGCCTTGGCTGGTCTCAAACACATGGCCCTTACATTATCAGTCGGATGCTCTACCAACTAAGCTATCACACTCCAAGCTACACAGCAGACATGTATGGAAGAGTCATTACACTTTGTGCATACAGTACTGTAAAGCTAAGAATAATTATTTCCCTTGAAACTATCATGCACAACAAACACTGCATTTTAGTATTTGATGTTAACTGCTGAGTTATTTCCCTTGATCTACTTTCCAGATACAGCTTTAGCTGCTGCAAGCCAAGTTTGTCGACAATGGTGAAAGAGGAATGGCAGTGACTAATCAGTGAGAACTGTGTGAGCAAAATGCCTCCATCTCCAATACAAGCCTGATTAAAGGGATTGGCATCTTGCTTGTTACATGTTAAGTTGTATACAGACTTTATTTGCCCTATATCACTGGAACTAGTCAATTTTATTTACTGCTTTAGCAACACTTTAAACACTCTTCCTTGTTTCAGATGTTAGGGAAAAACTACTTACGAAAATAATGAGTCTAGCAAACTGTACATTTTGTTATGAACTTTTCAAAAACAAGTTTCTCTGCAAAAAGCTTATTAGATTCTTTTAGAAATATAATTTTTATTTCATTTCCAATGAGCAAAATAAATTGGCACATCATACATCTATGTCAGCACATTACAAACCACACTGCATGTTTGATAGTCTACACACATCAGTACACTCTACATCACACTGCATGTTTGATAGTCTACACACATCAGTACACTCTACATCACACTGCATGTTTGATAGTCTACACACATCAGTACATCCTACATCACACTGCATGTTTAAGTCTACACAGTCCAGTATGTCAGCACATTACACACCATACAGCATGTTTAAGTCTACACATCAGTACATTACATACCACAATGCATGTTTAAGTTTACATATGTCAACACATTATACACCACACTATATGTTCAACTGTCTACACAAACCAATACCCTACACACCACACTGCATGCTTAACAGTCTACATGTCAGCACGTTACAAACCACACTTAATGTTTGACAGTTCACTATATAATCACATTACACACCACAAAGCACATTTAACAGTCCACTACATCAGCACATTATAGACCCACCATGTGTTTTAACAGACCAAATGTCAGCACATTACACACTACAATGCATGTTTAACAGTCTACACAAGTCAGCACATTACATGAAACACAGAATGTTTAAATCTTCACAAGCAACATATTTTACACCACATGTTTAACAGTCAACACATGTTAGCACATTAAACACCATACAGCACTGCATACTTAAGTCTACACAGGCCAGTACACTACACACAACACAATATGTTCAACAGTCCATTATGTCAGCATATTATACACCACACAGCATATTTAAGTCTACATGTATGTCATCACATTACACACCACACTGCATGATTAACAGTCCACTATGTGATCATATTACACACATTTAGCAATCCATTACATCTGTATATTATAGCTCCATCACATGTTTAACAGTGCACAATGTCATCCCATTATTCACTGCATATTTAATAGTTCTCTATGTAGATAATCCAAGAACTTCCTTCTTCCCTCTAAGTGAAAGCCATACAGAGTTTGGTCCAAATCTGTGATGCATAATTAACATTACTGTGCAGAAACCATTTCTCTTATTTGTACCAGTGACCCTGACTTTTAATCTTTTAATGCAAAAATCAATAGCCTTATTCTTTTTAAACAATTGATGGTGGTAACATTATGGTATTTAATAATATTCTCCAGGTAATGGTGTCAAAACAATAACTTTTATTTCATGGCACAGTTCAGTGGATCATACCTGCCACATAACAGTGGACATGTCAAAACAATAGTTTTTAATTCATGTTACAGAACAGTGGATCATACCTGCCAAGTAATGGTGGACATGTCAAAACAATAGCTTTTTATTCATGGCATAGTACAATGCATCATAACTGCCAAGTAATGGTGGACATGACAAAAATAGCTTCAAGTGTTTAATTATTGGCATAGTACAGTGGATCATACCTGCCAACTTCTAGAAAATTATAAGTGTATGCAATACCAGAATACAAACAAGAGACATATTAACAAATTATATATACAAAACATCCCCTAGGAGTGCAAGACTGAGAGTCAAAACTCTCATAGTGGTCAAAACTAGCGATAGACTGAGTAAAAAACAAACTTTGTTATCAAAACTTGGAGTTAAATTTAAAAACCAGGGATCTCTGACACACAAATGAGGGTAATTGGAAACATTATATATATATATATATATATATATATATATATATGTGTGTGTGTGTGTGTGTGTGTGTGAACACATTATACACCTCACTACATGTGTTTTTATATATATATATATATATATATATATATATATATATATATATATATATATATATATATATATATATATATATATATATATATATATATATATATATATATATATATATATATATATATATATATATATATATATATATAATGTTCTTTACTTCAAGCAATAACCAATGAAAAAATAAAAGCAAATGCAAATGTCGGTTTATGAAGTCAGAAGTCAGCCGTGATGATCTTCTAATATTCAGCCTAGCAACCAGCCTCAGTAGTCTCCATGGAAGATATGGCATCACCAAACAGCAGTAGCAACTTGCCAGCCAGGTTAGACAGAGCACTGTTTTTGAATTATTCAAGTGTAACATTTTCAGGGACTTTGTTTGATCTTATTATTTTAAATTAAAGATTTCTGTTAAATATTAATGGGGGCCACTTCCATCAGACCTACTTATCAGTTAGTGTTAGTATTTCTAAAGCAACACTAATGTCATCCTTCTGTTGCCACATGAAATCAGAATCTCTCAAGAAGCTGACAGATAAGAATTAATACATTACTATAACTCAACTGCTCCCTCAAACTATTTTTATCTACAGGAAATTATTTGCCACTACTATAAACATATTTTATCTACTGGAAACTCATTCATAAATATGAGCTTTAAAAGGAGGTTTTGCAGAAAATGACAATTTTGTCTTAGTACCTTATAGCTAAAACTCCAAGGCACCTACTGTCTTTTGAGCTGGATCACTGTTAATTGAAAATGGATTCCATTTTGACGTGTCCTTTGAACTAAATCATTGTTATTTGAAATGGGGTTCTATTGCGACCTATATCTTTTGAGCTGGACAACTGTTAACTGAGAAGGGTTTACTGTGATGTATTGTCCTTTGAAATGCTTCACTGTTCATTTAAAAGAGGTCCTATTGCAACCTAACATGACCTAGAGGAACGGGGGGGGGGCCAAATGGTCTAAGGCACATTTACAAGGGTTCTCTCTCCATCACATATACTGTCAATGACTGAAAAATAGTGTTAAACCAAGAAAAGCAATGAAATCTTATTGTGTCTGTTTTCACTTTCTGACTGATCACTGTTCATTAGAATGGGTCCAATAGTGTTGCAAGGTTGGGAGGATATCACTCTTTTTTGGAATGGGTCCAATAGTGTTCCAAGGTTGGGAGGAAATCACTCTTTATTGGAATGGGTCCAATAGTGTTGCAATGTTGGGAGGATATCACTCTTTATTGGAATGGGTCCAATAGTGATGCAAGGTTGGGAGGATATCACTCTTTATTGAAATGGGTCCAATAGTGGTGCAATGTTGGGAGGATATCACTCTTTATTGGAATGGGTCCAATAGTGATGCAAGGTTGGGAGGATATCACTCTTTATTGAAATGGGTCCAATAGTGATGCAAGGTTGGGAGGATATCACTCTTTATTATAATGGGTCCAATAGTGATGCAATGTTGGGAGGATATCACTCTTTATTGGAATGGGTCCAATAGTGTTGCATGGTTGGGAGGATATCACTCTTTATTGAAATAGGTCCAATAGTGATGCAAGGTTGGGAGGATATC